GAGAGAGAGGAGTCACGTTCCGCAAAGGAGTACGCGAAAAGAGATGACACAGCTGTACTGGTTCCTGAAAAAAAGGCCCTCCGGACTTGTAGGGGGAAAATGAGAGGCGCGACAATCGCGGACATACAATCTGGGTCGCTGTCGATGTGTCTACAAAAAGCGCCAAATGCAGCCCGCCTCCCCCCCCCCCCGACACACCCCACCATTCGCAGCGAACGACGGGCACTGTTCAAGTCTATATCCCGATGAGGAACACAGAAGAATAAATTACCTCCCCATCCGAGATGATTCGCCACAATCACCCACGATACGGCCAGCGACCATCCAATTCGTGAGAAGTTGTTGTACGTGGCACGCACGAATTTACTGTAATGGAACAAGTATTGCTGCAGTGTTGAATGAAATTGGCAAGATATGCAAATAAAGAACTTTTTGCGCTAATCGTATGGGCGGAGTCAGACACACCATTCAGACAAACCATTGAGACATACCACAACATTCCACATTAGCAAGCATCGTCTTCGAGGGCGATAAAGAGTAGAGGGGCGCCAATAGGGAAGGCACAGTGATACTCTCGACTCCGCCCATATGATCAGGGTGCGACAAGCCGCGCTTACACTTCGCGGATGGGGTTTGAACGCTTCGGGAACTGCGCGGATGCGACTAACTGTATTGACCACTGATCACTGGACTGCTGCAACGGTCGGAAGGAGATCTATCCCGCATCTGATTGCATTAGCAGCTGTAGCGGTCCAACGATTAGCGCTGGAGCCAGTTAGGTTGCAGTTGCGCGAATTCCGATCTATGGAGGCGGCCAAAGGTGATCATTTTGAGTAAGATTGGAGGCATTTTTTGGGATCTGGTTTGTTTCTGCTTTGGTGGAAGTACACAATTGGAAGCCTGCTACCTCTGGGTCAAGTTAGGACAGACTCTCCTCTAGGTTCCTAATACAGACCCCAAAACGATATGTTACCTCCAGTTGTAATCTCCTTTGATGTAATCGTGCGGTCCGTAGACTGATAGCAAGCCAATGCAAATAGAAATCGTCCATGCGGCCACAATCATTACCTGAAATATCGCAAATGAAACATTGCAATTTTCTTTAAAGCTTACTAAAGGCTGTGGCATGTATGAGCGTGGCCAACTGGGCCACTGCGCGCCTCCATTGGCGAGAAATAAGGCGCACCAATGAAGAAGGAGCATCGGTACAAGCGACTCCGCCCATCCTCAGCAAACGCTTGTGCACCA